CCTCCTCTCTGCCTGCCCGTGTGTACGCGTGGCTCCGCGTCCACGGTGTCAGGGCGTGGGGGCGGGGGGTGCCCCGTCACTGCGCGCCGCTTTGCGGCCAAGCGCCCAACTGGCGGTCTGCCAAGCCGCCTAGCCACGTGTCAGCACGTCGCCTTTCTTGTTGGGGCCTCTTTCTTTACGCGGTCTGACAGGTGAGATCATCACCGTCTGTCCGCCGTCTGTAGCGTCTGTCGCACTGCGCCGGGGGAGGGGGTTTTTGTTGCCCGCCCTCGTATCTAAAGGCTGCACCGCCGCAAATAGTGCTGCGAGTTGTCGCACCGCAGTGCGCCTCTGGTCTACTTGTCTCTCTCTCTCTCTCTCTCTCTCTCTCTCTCTCTCTCTCTCTCTCTCTCTATATATATATATATGCATCGGCGGGTTCGTTGACGTGAAAGGCACTTTTCATCGCTGTCGGCTTCCCGCCTGTCTCGCCGGCAACTCCTCGGGGCAGGTCACCGCTGGGGAGCTGGGAGCGGTTTGTTTTATGTTCGATGAGAAGCGGCTTGCAGTGGACATTATGGCGGACGTTTGTCGGGGCTCGCTGCCGATGAGGCTCTCGCGGCCCCTGTACCTCAGCCAGCAAGCTGATGAACAGAGAATGCGGATGGTGCCAGGTCTGTCACAGTCCTCGCTTCTTCAGGATCGGGGTCGGCCTGGCATTTTTACCCTCGCCTCGGGCGCCCCTGGAGAGCCCCCTCTTGGTCTGGCGAATGCCACAACGTAGACGTGGACAACTTGGGGGTCATAACCTCGGACCCGATGGATACAAAGAGGGATATGCACGCCGCGGCTGCGACGTTCGAGGCCGCGGGCCCGAGCACTCACGAGCGCGAGGTCACCCAGTCGCACGCAAAGGTCTCATGCACTCAGTTGGACCTCAGCGGGGCACGCGTCTGTTTCTCCTCAGCCAGGCTCTGGAAGGTCCGCCAAGGCGTCCTTTTCGCGTTGCGCTGTTCGAAGCAACCTGGTCGCGTCCGGGGGGCCCTCGGGGCACCTCACCTTCTGCGCGCTTCTGGACCGAGGCATGATGGTTATCTTTAGGAACATCTGCGGGTTCATCAACAAACACCGCGATCTGGCGCCTCTGTGAGACACCGCCAGAAAGAGATCACGTCGCTTCCTTACTTTTCCGCATGGACCCGCCCTGGAGCTCACCCTGGGCCCCTACGGTCGCCTCGACAGCCGCGTCGGAGGAGGAGTTCGACGGCGAGCCCCCTGAAAGCGCGGCCGAGGCGGGCCACACCCCGGAGCGCAGTCGGTCCACGAAGCTCCCGGGGGCTTCGGCCCGGGACCCTTTCTTTGGCGGGATCCTTGGCCTCTGGGCACCCACCGATTTCGTGGGCCTCGAGGGCCCGCGCAGCGGACATCGACAGGGACATCAGTTTTAAACCGACCCGGGCTGCATCGAGGTCCCCCATGGACTTCTCGGCGACTGATGTTGGCGTGCACTTCTGGCAGGCCTTTGGAGGCTTCATGACGAAAGTATCTGGTACTCTGGAGTCCCCGGCCCTGGTCATGGGCTTTCAGGCGCTGCTCAGCGAGTATCAGTTGACCGACTGCCGCGCGCTCTTCTTGGTCGATATATGGGGGTGCGTCTTGCTTTGAAACGGAGGAGCACTCGAGAATTCCAAGGCGTCGCGCGCATTCGAAGGATGAGTGCTTGGTGTCTCTGCCATGGACAACGAGTTCATTTTCGGTGGATACCCCTGGAGCGGAACACCGCCGACAAGCCCTCTCGTCTGTCCTCCGCAGCTGTGGTCGGTCCAAGTTCGAGGCCGGTCGCTCTTCCATCCGACGCCCAGCTGGGCGCGGACGCCAGCGGGCCACGCCGGCGAAGGGGAGGAGCCAGACGCGGAAGCTGACACTTGCAGCTACCAGCGCGCCAGTTCAAATCCCAGCGCGGGCGCGGATTTGTTTCAGGCAGTTCCTGTTGGACTCGTACGATCCCGACGCCAACGCGGCAGTTGGTCCCCGATTCGGCGGCGGCCGAGCGGCTGCAACCCTCCCCCAAGAAAAAAGAAATGGCCCTTTTCGGGATCGCGTCGGAGGGCGACGGCGAAAATGCGGACAGGGACAGCGACGCCACCTCTGTCACAGAAGAGGTCCTTGTCCGGACCGCTCGGACAACACGAGCTCCCCCGCCACCTCGGCCGAAGAGGGCGCGGCGAAGGGTCGAGCCCACGCGTCTAGCTGGGCTGAGCCGCCCTCCACTGGAGTCGTCGGCGGTACATGGGGCGCACCGAGATCCAGTATCACGAGCTGGTCGCGGCGCGGGCAGAGGGCACCAAGGGGCGAGGCGAGCCGCTCGAAGAGGCTAACAAGGCGAGCGCGCCAGCGGCGCAGCACCTGCAAGATCTTCGACAACGGCGAGGACGTCAGCAAAGGGAGGGATCTGGCGGCCGGCCTAGAGTTTCGTTCTGGAGTTTGGAAAGCAAGGTGGTCTCCATCTTCCCCGCTGTCGACGAGCACTGTAGGGATCGCGGCGCCGCTCCCCCCCGCGCTCTCAGCGCCCCTTGGCCTCGAGCATCCGGGCGGCCATCCAGCGGGAGATGTGCCGCGACAACTTCTGGGAAGTGGCCCTCTACGCTCCGCTCATGCTGGCGTCGCGCATGCGACCCTCGGAGCCCCTGAAGCTGCTGCAGGAGGATTTCCTGGCCCCCGCAAGCGGACTCTCCGCCTCGTGGATCTGGCTTCGCCTTCTGGCAAGAGCGCGGAGAGGCATCCAAGACGCACGCCACCGACGAGACCATCGACCTCAGCCGCCGCTGGGCGCCGTACATGAGCATCCTCGCGGCGGCGCTCACGCATGGCAATCCAAAGGACCCAGTGTTCAATTTCACCGATGCGACGCATCTCAGGCGATTCCACTCAGCACACAAACGACTTGGAATCCAGGCCGTGCCCTATCAGGCAAGGCACCCTGGCGCCAGCACCAACGCCGCTCTGAAGCACTGCACGCGGCTGGAAATCAAAGCTCGCGGGAGATGGAAGGCCGACAAGAGCGTGCTCCGGCGCGACAGCAAGGTCAAGATCGCAGAGAGCGTCGACAAGTTGCGCGGGGCCATGTCGCACACGTGAGGATGTGCGAGCGAGAGGGGGGGACTCTTTGCGCGGCCAGATAGAGCCCTCGGCCATCACACCGCCCGTCACCCCGAGCTCAGTGCATCCGACTCGACGCCGTACCTAGCGGACGTGGGCGAAGGCACCACAGGGGTGGGCAGGACTGCGGGGCGCAATGGCATCTGCGCTCGACTCTGGGACCTCGGCGCGCCCCTCACCAGCCCCAAGAACATTCGGCATCTCTGAGCTGACGCGAGATCGTGAAAAACACTGACAGCCATGATCGCATTTGAATGCAGGTCCTGGGGCATCGTTCGATACCGCACAGAGGCGATACGACCTCGGGCCGAGCCCTGAGAAATATCGTCGCCCGCCTAGCCTTGTTCAGATAACGACGTCCGCGCCCTGACCTCGGGTAACCTACAGTTGCCCAGAAAGCTGAAACGGATTCGGTTGCTTTTATCGCGTGAGAATACCGTGGTCAGTGGAGAAGCCAGTCACGAGCTTGCTGTGGCACATGCAAGAGTTTATCAATTTCGCCGCAGACGTACGTGTCCTGGTCAAAGATATTGATCAGTGTTCGCTGGGCACCCAGTGGAGAAAACGAACGCGCCTCATGTCTTGTAACTGCGACGTGTGTGATGACAGTCTTTGTGATCATCATGTGCGCCACGTTCGTCGAGTATGTCACTACATTGGGAGCCGACACGTTGAATTGGAGGGGTGGACTATAATATTGACAGTGCAGACGTACCCTACTAAATTTTATCATATGTTGGCAACAAAAATTGAACGTGCCCAAGCCGCTCATCAGCGTTCATTCTATATTCGATCAATTCGTAAGCTCACAGCTTCGGGTTTTTTGGAGATCAGGCGTATATGTTCATTGGCATGCATCCTCTGCCCACTCCCTAGACTGAAAATGTGTGTGGGCCAATTCGCGAATTCGGTGGCGGAATGGATGAGACATACATTCATATGAAAACGAGTAACCTTTTTGTTAAGGCAAAATCGAGCATGCGGAATGGGAACGGGATTGAGGTTCTGATTGAAAACGTATCCCCGCCTTGTAATTGTTATTGTTGAAGTTTCCTTCCCACTGCCTTCCTCTCTTTGCCCGTTTCCAGGGCTTGGTTTTTCACGGATCAGGCTTATATGTTCATGTGTACGTTTTGTTGCTTAATCTCTAGATTGCAGACGTGTGTGGGCCAGCTCGTGTATACGGTGGCGGAATTGATGAAACAGATGTGTATATGGAAATGAAGTACGTCGAAAGTCATGGCGGCGGGGGTCTCGGATGGTAGACTTGACAATACCGCCACGGTCGTCCCACAGCTTCGCCCTATCTGCACGTCGGACGCTACAATACGTGCAGGCGTCGTCCCTCGGCGAAGTGCCGCAGCGTATCAAGTCGCCGCCGCTCCTGGGCTCGCGAGCCTGCTCGTGCGCTTCGTCACGGATCGCTCACCGGGAAAGGTCAAAGTGGGTTCGACATTAATTTGGGGCTCTAAACAAGCAATTTTGTACGAATTGGTACAGCAGCTTATCGGCAGGGTTTCTCTTTAGAGTCGCGCGAGAGGCGCCTGCGGATTCGCAGTGCATCAGACAGGGAGTAGTCGTGCGTCTGTTCATGCCTCTCCACACGATGCCCAAAAGAGCGTGGTGGGGAAGATGCAGAGATGGAGTGGGGTCTGGAGAGATGGCGGCGGAGGGGACGGGGAGGACAGGGCATAGGGCAGGGCAGGAGGCAGGGCATGGGAGCGAAGACATGAAAGGAGGAACAGTAGAGGTGCGGAAGATTGACGGGTCTGTGCCAATTTGGTTTTCAAGCCCCCCCGCAGACGTTGGCCTGAGGCTCGTATCGTTGCTACGGCCGATTGAAGACGATGACAGGTTGCGAGCCGTGGTGCCCAGGCGCAGCTGCCCAAGTTCTAAAGTGGCGTTTCTTGCGGGACTGAGTCCCGCCGGTGTCAACACGGGCGTGCTCTGCGTTGTTATACATTGCTTACGCGTGCGGTTTTATTTTCGCTCTGTGTAACGGCATGAGTTGCCGCGTGGTACAGTTACCCGAATTTGTGTCGGTGAAGTTTAGTTTTCCGTGGTTGCAGTTTTTTCTTCCTGCGGGAAGTGTCGCGCAAGGAGCCACAGGAGGTCTGGAATTTTGATTTTGCATCGCGACGCCATTTCTGGTCATCTGGGTTGGGTTTTCGAGTTGAGTGGTCGTTATGAACGTGCCCCGTCGTGGTACAAGAGCGAGGTTCCAGCGTCTGTGTACCATGGGCCTTGGCGCCAAGCACAGCAACCAGTTTCAAATGAGCAACTATTCTGCAGCGGTGGAACACACTTGTTGTTCATTGCAGATGCTGTTGTCGTCAAGTTTCGTTGCAAATGCTTACAGCTTGCAGTAGTGTCTCCTTCGCCCTTGCGAGAGCGCAGTTGCGGCTAACATGTAACAAGGACGGAGTGCGCGCAAGAGATGCATTCACATGACGTCGGTGCATTATTATGGGAACCTTGCACACACACAGTTATTTGGAGTATTGGGCACCTGTTGGAGTATGTTCACTTTCAGTGTTGCCACATGCGTGCACGCACATAAGAATTATATTGTTGTTTGGATATGTCAGCGCGAGCGTGCGACTTATTGCCTTTGCGTGCTCATCGGTCCAAAACGGCAGTTGGATCAAGCGATTATGCATTTGTTCATTCGTTCACCCGTGCACGCAGGCATGAGTGTGTGGAAATTTTGTGCGAGTACGTGCGTACCAACTTTATCTCTGGCTTACGCAGGCGTATTCGCACGCATACGTGCACTCCTGCGTAGGGGTGTTGCGTATCGGGGTGCATCGTTGGGCAGTTTGAGTCAAGCATGTGTTATCCGGACGTCCTCCATCTCGGTTGGGAATGCCGTATTCGTTGAGGTGGAATTCGTGCAACAAATGTTTTGCCATATCCGTAGATGTTAGACGCGGTATTGGATTGGCTTTGCATGTATCATCGTATAAGCAGCTTGCGGGAAGAACCCCCGCCCGAAGTTGGCAAAACAACATTGCTAACCGTCTTTGGCGTCTTGCGCGCAGGCCAGCGAAGTCATGGATTGTTCTATGGAATTTCGGCCCGTGTCCTGTGCGGGGCTATTTGCCGCTTCGCGATTTGAGCCACATTGCTTGAAATTCAACGTGCAGCAGTAGTGCCGGCAGGCACAATTTGCCACGCTTCGAAACAGAATTACAACGGCAGCGTCGGACACACACCACGTCGAATTGAACAGTTCTTTTGCGGTAAACGCGTGCTGTAGCAATTGTTGTGTTGAGGGCATTCGTTGTGCTGCGTCGCGAAGTTCCGAACCGTTCCAATGAGTTGTTATTGAGATTCGTTTTGTCTTTGCGGTTAGGACTATTGTGTCACCACACGGCAGACAAGATAATGTTTCATTTCAATCATTATTGGGGTGACGACGTATCGAACGTTGTTTCCCAAACTGTGTCATTGGCGGTTAGTCCGAGCTCGCGGCAGCGAACGAAATCTGCGGCGCGCAAGGCAAAGGGCAAGCCTGGGTTTGTCACACGATCTCGCGGCGAATGGAATCAACGGCACGCCCAACGGCACTCCGAAACAAGTTGTTTGCTTGTCGGTAATTCTTAACGCTTCACGTATCCCCACCAGAAATTCTTTACGCTTCGCGTATCCCCACCAGCCCATCTCACAACAGCAATTCTTGCGAAGCATGCCGACAGTCGTGTTTTTCAGGCGTGTGTCCGCTTGCCCCCGCATATCTCCCCTGTTCCTCCTTCCTCCCGCCTCCTTGTACATCCTCCTTGTGGGGGGAGCGGGAGAAGGACGAGGCGAAGGAGGAGGGAGAGAAAGCTCTCGTCCTGGTGTGAGTCGTTCGGGCCCTTCTTCCTGGTGTGAGTCGTTCGGGCTCTTCGTGGTGTGAGTCGTTCGGGCTCTTCGTCCTGGTGTGAGTCGTTCGGGCTTCTCGTGGTGTGAGTTGTTCGGGCCCCTCGTCCTGGTGTGAGTCGTTCGGGCCCCTCCTCCTGGTGTGAGTCGTTCGGGCTCCTCGTGGTGTGAGTCGTTCGGGGCCCTCGTCCTGGTGTGAGTCGTTCGGGCTCCTCGTGGTGTGAGTCGTTCGGGCGCCTCGTCCTGGTGTGAGTCGTTCGGGCCCCTCCTTCTGGTGTGAGTCGTTCTGGGCTCTTCGTGGTGTGAGTCGTTCGGGCCCCTCGTCCTGGTGTGAGTCGTTCGGGCTCCTCGTGGCGTGAGGCGTTCGGGCACCTCGTCCCCTTTGGGGGCGTCTTGGGGGCCTCTTGGCGGCCCCAGGGGCTTCTAGGAGCGTCTTGGGTGCCTTGGGGGAGCCTTTTCGGGCCTCTTGGGAGCCTCTTGGAGGCCGTTTGGGGCGTCTTGGGGGCCTCTTGGCGGCCCCAGGGGCTTCCAGGAGCGTCTTGGGTGCCTCGGGAGAGCCTCTTGGGGCCTCTTGGGGACCTCTTGGGGGCATCTTGGGGGCCTCTTGGAGGCCTCTTGGGGGCCTCCTGGGGGCCTCTTGGGGCGTTTTTGGGGCCTCTTGGTGCCTCCTGGGCGCTTCTTGGGGCCATCTTGGAGGGAATCGATTTAAGAAGAGGGGAGCTTTAATTAGCGCTGCCCCCTCAGAAGGGCAAAATGAGGCCAAAACCTTCGTAAAATCAATGATTTTGCCTTGCAGGAAGAGGAGAGCTTTCATGAGCGCTGCCCCCATCAGAAGGCCCAAATGGGGCCAAAACCGTAGTAAAATCAATGATTCTGGCTTCACAGAAGAGGAGAGGTTTTTTCTCCCTCCCCCCGTCGGGGCCAGAATCCTCGTGAGGGGTGTCGTTTTTTAGCCCTCCCAGGAGTCGAAAAAGACCCCTCCAACGACCCGCGAGGCGCCCGCTCCAGGCCCAGGGGGAGGGGGTAGGGGGAGGGGTAAACCCCTCCCCGAAGGGGAAGAAGGGGGGTTGAGAACAGAGAGGGCTCCCTAAACCACTCACGCCCAAAGGGCTGGTGGGATTGCGCGCCCCCCTGGCAACAGTATCGTGGCGACAGTCGGGAATGCCGCTGAGGGCGCGCCTGCGCTCGGAGACCGGCCTGCTCCCGAAAGGAGGTCCACGACGCCTCCCCGAGCGGATGATGGAGGATATCTCGAGCCTCCTCGCAGCATAGAGAGTCAGGAGTTCACGCCGGAACGTGCGGCCTTCAGCTGCAGTAGTCCGCTGGGAGACCTACAAACCGAACAGGTGGTCGTCAGCCACAGCGCGCCGGTGCCTTCCCGCCCAGGAGACAACCATGCTGGCGTTCCCACAGCCCCTCATTCCTATCAGCGTTCCGGGGGCGGTCTCGTTGTTGAGGCTCGAGCGGTTGTGGTTCAAGCTGTTGCGGCACGAACTCAAGCTATCACATTGCCAGTCGCCGGGGCTGTCGGCCACCACCTCATAGCCCATTGCTCCCCCCCTGCCAACAGTATCGCGGCGACAGGTGGGATTGCTGCTGAGGGAGCGCCCGCGGTCGGAGACCAGCCTCCTCCCGAGAAGAGTTCCACGACGCCTCCCCGAGCGGATGGTGGAGGTTATCCCGAGCCTCCTCGCAACATTGAGGGCCAGGAGTTCACACCGGAGCGTGCGTGCGTGCGGGCCACAGACGGGCGCGTGTTTGCGATCGGCACCGACCCTCCAGCCAGCGCCTCCGAGGCCATCCCCGTGGCCGACGGTCAATACGGAGCCCATTACTTGCAAAGCCTGGGGCTGTCGATACATTTGGTTGGCGGCGAGACCCAACAACGCCCCGCTGTGACTCCGCCCGCCGCCGTCCCTGGTACTCTCGAAGGCCCCTCGCTGGGTAACCACGAACACGCCTTGCAGAGGCAGGACATCGAGGCCATCCGCCAGCTTGTCGAGAGAAGTCCCTTCGCGCCCATTCGCCCTCGTTCCCCTGTCAGCGACTCCGCCCGAACGGACAGCGAACCGCAGCCACTCTCGCCCGAAGGCCGGACCACGCTGAAGAAGGCGACCCCTGTCCTGGCGAAAGAAACAGTGTATGACAACGTGCCTGGGCCAGGTACGACCCGCAGCACTCTCACACATGACGAAAGTCACGCTGCGACAGACGGGGGCGCGCTCGTGGGCGAGGGCGGGCGCGGGTCTGAAGGCGAGCGCCAACGGGAGGGGCCTGCCCCCGCCTACCACAGTGCAGCGGTCCTCTCAGCCCCAGCTGCTGGAGGCGACTCGGCCTTTACCTGGCGGCCAACCGTGCGGCCCGCGCCAACCCGCAAGTCCCCGCCAGGCTTCCGTGCCCCAGTAGCGGCCGCGCCCCGCGAAGCCATAGACGATTCCGGCGGCGGGCCCAACCAGTCGGAACAGTCGCAGAGCAGCGTACGTGAGCAGCATGCGGAGCAGGAGCCGGAAGAGCCCGATGAGCAGGAGCTGCCGGCCGCCCACGGGGAGGGCGCGGAAGTAGCGCCAGCGCAGGAATGGGAGCATGGGCAAGAACAAGAACAGGAACAGACAACCACCCACCGCCTCACTCCCCTGGCTGACACCACTTGCCCTGGCCCCTCCCTCCCAGGCAAGGGCGCGAGCTCGAGCGCCGAGGAGCAACGGCAGCGCGGCCGGAACGTTCCCCCAGCGCGTCTTCGTGGCAGCGGGTGGACGCCCTGCCTAGCCTCTGTGACTGGCCATCCTCCAGTCTCCCCGCCGCCCCTGGGCCAAAACCTGGCCAGCGACGCCGACCGCGCTGGCGGGTCGGGTGGACGGCAGACGGCAGGCGGCGGACGCAGCAGCAGCAGCCGCAGAAGCAGCAGCAGGCGCCGCGCCGAGGACCAGCCGCTGACCACCCCGCCCCTGGTAGCGGGCCCCGCCGCGCGTCACTGTCCAGAACCTTTTTAGACCCAGACACGGGACAGCAGCTATATAGAACTGAGATCGGCGACATCCAGTGGGACCACCCCGGGGAGACACCTGGCGAGACGATAAAGCGGCTTCAGGCCTCCCTGGGAGCGAGGTTCACAGGCGCCTGGCACGCGTTCGCCCAGCA